AGACCTTGGTCTCTCCTGTTCAGCCGCAGGAAGGCCTGGGACACGCAGCAATGGGGAACGTGTGTCTCTGGTTTGGGGTCACTTGTTGAGTGGTCCCATTTTGGGGCAGGGTCCTTGCGGGGGGATTTGGTAGCTCTGCAGGGTGCAGGAGCAGCCTGGTCTCTCCAGGACCGATGATTTCCACAAGCTCTCTTGTGCCCACTCAAGTGGGGGCTTGAGTGCTCACTCATCTGGGGGTTCTAGTTGACAAAGGGCTGAATATGAGCCGGCCGTGTGCCCAGGTGGCCAAGAAAGCCAATGGCATTCTGGCTTGTATCAAAAATAGTGTGACCAGCAGAAGTAGGGAGGTGATTGTGCCCCTGTACTCAGCACTGGGGAGGCCACACCTCGAGTATTGTGTCCAGTTTTGGGCACCTCAATCCAAGAGAGATCTGGAGGTGCTGGAGCGAGTGCAGAGGAGGGCAACGAAACTGGTGAGGGGGCTGGAAAACAAATCGTATGAGGAGCGGCTGAAGGAGCTGGGGCTGTTTAGTGTGAGGAAGAGGAGGCTGAGGGGAGACCTCATCACTCTCTACAACTACTTGAAAGGACACTGTAGAGAGGTTGGTGCTGGTCTCTTCTCACAGGTAATTAGTGACAGAATGAGAGGGAATGGCTTCAAGCTCCAGCAGGGGAGGTTTAGACTGAACATTAGGAAAGAATTTTTCACCGAAAGAGTGGTCGGGCATTGGAACAGGCTGCCCAGGGAGGGGGTGGAGTCACCATCCCTGGATGTGTTTAAGGGCCGTTTAGATGCAGTGCTGAGGGACATGGTGTAGGGGAGGACTGTGTAGAGTAGGGGAGATGGTTGGACTCGATGATCCCAAGGGTCTCTTCCAACCTAGACCATTCTATGATTCTATGATTCTAAGTGTCAGGTCTGAAGGAAAACTCTCAGTGAGGCTGAGATTTCCAGTGGTCCAAAGAGCCAGCCCAGGTGCCTGCAGCACGGTCACCGCTCCCCACCACAGGCTCTGCGTACCCACCACTCTCCTCCCGACACAGCCAGCTCCCCTCTGCTGGGGCCACAGCCTGTTCCTCTGGCCCTGCAGCCCAGCACCGTGCAGCCTCCGCCTGGAAGGAAGCTCTGGGCAGTGGGGTCATCACCTCTGCGGTGAGAAGCTGATTTGCAATGTTGTTGCTGGCTGGGGCTCCCCAGCTCCTCCAAGAGCGGCTCGCAGCGGGACATGTGCCCCCTCCTCCTCCATCCCAGTTCTTCCCATGCTCTGTGCAAGGGGGGATGTGCAGGCTCTGCCGGGCTGCCCCAAGGGGCAAAACGGCCTGTTGAGGAGGGGCTGGGGGGGACACTCCAGGGACGGCAGTCCCTGCTGCCCGGGCCATACGCTTTCTTTTTGCGGTTCAGCCCTGATGAAATGGATCTTTGTTTTGATGCACGCCCAGTTCTCTGTATACTTATCACAGAAAAGACTTCTGAACCGATGCCAGAAAAGTTTTTGCTCTGTTTTCCAGAAGATGGGAACTCACCAATAGTGAAACAGAGCTTCTGGCACTAAACATGGAAAAGTCCTGAGATGGGATTTCCTCTCTTGCCAGCTCCCTGCCGTTCTCCTGGATCAGATCTGAAATTCCCGGTGGATGGGCAGCATCCCCTCCTGGCAAGGAAAGGCACCGTGGTCCTTCCCGGACTCCAGACACCTCACACAGGGTGTCCCAGTTCCCAGGAAGGCTGCTAGCACCCAAACCCCATCTCTCCTTCCTTTAGCTTCACCCTGACCTCCCCAAAGCAGCTTTTGTAGTCCACCACCACACACGGGAGGGCTGCAGTCCTCTCTCCTTCTTTTCCCTCTCCCTCCCCCAGGCACCACCACTGGTTCTGTGCTGGGGCTACAGCCCCCCCCCCCCCCCCCAAAGGGGGGGGGGGCGTAGGGGGCCGTGGGGCTGCGTGCCTCCCCGTGCAGCCGCCGCTGCAGCTCCGCCAAGGCAAACATGCCTGTCACGTTCATCATCTGCCTCTCAGCACACGCTCCTCCTGGTGTGCTCATTCTTACGGCTCTTGGCTTGAACTTTCCTCAAACTTTCCTCTGGTAACAATATGTCCAGAGTTAACGCAAACGCACCGGGTGGAGTCTTTCCAGGGCCGGCTCCGGAGGGATGTGCTCGTTGCTGCCCGGGGCTCCGGGCCGTGGGGCGATGCTGGGGGGCACAGGGGTCCCGTTGGCATTCCCTTCGATCTGGCACAGCGTGTTCCTGCTCACCCTCCTTCTCCCACTGCCTCGAGGTCTCTGAACATCTGGGGGGAAGGGGCAGGGGGGGGGATGGATGATCCGTCCCAGATGTACTAGCTGCATTTTCCAAATTAAGTCTTTGTTTACTTCCTGCACTGTTTCTAAGAGCTATGTCCTCTATTGTTTGTTTCTGCTTTCATCAGGGTTTTTTAACATGCCCTAACTCTTTATTGGCTTGAAGCTTCATTAGCATGTTGTTTTCCTCGAATGTAAGGAGAGCCACGCTCGGTCAGATGAGGAAGGCAACACATGGGCACTTGGCTCCAGCTGCGTGGTGGGCAAGGATTTAGAGGGACAGTTGGGGAAAGGGCATCATCCTTCTCTTCCAGCCATCAGGAGCGTAGGAAATTTGTGATCGAGCTATTGCTGTGGATCTGCATAATTAATAGCTGTGGATGCCCCAGTTCTCTCTGAATTCAACCTATCCTCTTTTGCACTCATTTAACTTTCCTCCTTGATGAGGTCATTTCATTGTGCCTTGTGTTCAAACCAAACCTGTTTGATTTGAACCTGCTGCCTGATAAGGGGCTGCCTCCTCGCCCATGCTATGGACAATGCTGACTAATTCTCCAGTCCTAGTGTGTAAGATGCGTTCTCCACCCACCCCAGACTTTGCTCATGGCTCCTTTTTAGTATCTAACAGTCTGGCATTTCTTTCTTTTTCTTTTTTTTTTTTTTTTTCCCTGTTGCTTCTCACATCAGTGTTGCTTGTTTCTATAGGGAAGTGAGTGCTTTTCATACGTGTCCCTTGGCAGTGCTGCAGCTCCAACTCTGCCGCCGCTGTCACAGGCCACTGGAAACAGCCGGGGAAGGGGAAGGGGAAGGGGGAGACAGACCAAACATGGGGTTTGTGCTATTTTACTATAGCCCCGCTTAGCGCTCTCTGGCTGCCAAGTAACACCAGCTAGCACTGGAAACCTGCCCACCTCCTTCGCATCGCCTTGGCTGCTGAAAGCCGGGGAGAGAGCAGCTCCACAGAAACCCAGCAGCCCTGGGAGCAGCAATGTGAAGGAGGTGAGGGCACTTCCCCCTGCTGTGTGAGCTGCCAACTTCACAAAATACCTCCAGACAGGGCTTGCTGTAGAGACAGGAGCTCCCTGCCATGCCCGTGCTCATCACACCGTCCTCCCCGTGCCCTGCCACCGCCTCAGCCACTTCCCCTGGGTTTCCTGCAAGTGCTGGGAGAAGCTGGCACCTCCAGTTTCTTGTTATCTGTTTAAAGATGGGTGCAATGCCATTCCCACTCCTGAATGTGTGTTGCTCTGACACTGACTGACAAGTGGGGATGTGGTGGGATGTAGCTTAACTGGGAGAAGGTATTAATGCAGTTACTGCTATCTCTATAAATGTATAAATGTATAATAGTTTTGTTTTTTTTTTTTTCTGGTCATGTCTTCAAAATATATTTGTTCAAAACCAGGACTTTTAAACCTTTTTTTTTTTTAAAAAAAAAAAAAAAATAAGTCCATAATTGAGAGGAGGACACTGTGCAAATGGGGCAGGGGACCAAGAAGGCACAAGGACAAGGAAAGGACCAGCATGGTGGGGCTGGGGGGGGCAGATGAAAGTGGGAAAGTGAGAGTGAGCCACGGCCGGAGCAGCTGGGCTGTGTGCCCTGCCCCCGGCTGCACTGTTTGCATTAGAGGCTCCAAACAGGGGCTCCCTGGTTTCACCACTGCTCTTCCTGGGAAACTGAGGCAGAGAGGCAGTGGGCAACTTGAGCAGATGTGGGGGACAGGGAGCAAAGCAGCGGTGCTGGGCAGCCCGAGCAGATGATGCTTTCCTGGGGAGAAAGGCAGGCAGAGCAACCCTTGTCAGAGGGGTTAGAGCAGTGCAGCCTGGATCCACCTCACGGTTAAAGGCAGGCAGACTTGAGCACGGCTCCCAGTGCCCCGAGAAGCACGTTGCAGGCAGGAGGAGCTCCTCCCCAGGGTGGCCTGCACAGAGCAGGGTGGCAACGTGTGCCTTGGCAAAGGGAGCCTTTCTCCTGACATGTGCCGACGTGATGATAAATCTTTCGGTAGATGTTTGTACTCACATCTGGGCTCCGTGTCAGGGATGTCCGAATAAGGATCTCCATCAGGGCCACTGGAGTTTTAGCCCCACGGGGTCAGGCTGCAAAGCCAAGCTGTGCCCACCCACGGGACCCGACGTGGCTGCTGCCAGCGGGGCGAGGGTGCGTGTGGCAGAGGGGCAGAGAGGAACCAGCCTCCCCCCAGCCCAGAAGCACCCTGCAGCTCTGGTACCTGTGAGAGGGGCATTTCCACCTGCCTTCGTGCTGCCGAGCTCTCTCCTGCTGCCCGCTGCCTGTCGGAGGTGGATGCCGGTGCCCGGTTCCAGCGCACGGCAGGGTGACACCGGCCGCTGCCCGTCGCTCTCGGTGCCGGTCCCCGCTCAGCAGACAGCTCCTGCATCGCACCCCACCTTCCTCCTCCTCCTCCCCCTGCGGTTCCTCGCCGGGAGCTGCGGGGGGAGCCCCGCCGGGCCGCCCTCCCTTCCCCGGGAGCAGCGGGACCGCCGGGAGAGCCGGGGCCGGGGCGGAGGGGCCGGC